TTAAACCGATCGACGCTAGCCTCATCGCAGCCTCTGTGAAGTACACTCACGGCCGCGTAGTTACCGTGGAGGATCATGCTCCTGAGGGTAAGCTGAACCACTTTTGTTAGCGGAACCCAGTTGGTCAAGGGCGGTTGGTGTTGGATGCGTCAGTCCTTACGGTCGCGTCTCTTTTTAGGTGGTCTTTCAGAGGCCGTGGCCAGTGCTCTCAGTCAACAGGGTGTGAGTTTCACCCAACGCATCCTAGCAGTCCACGAGGTTCCACGCTCTGGTAAGCCGGACGAACTTTTGGCCAAGTACCGCATCGACGCCGCGGCCATTTGTGAGGAGGTGCGCGCCCTTGTTAACGCCTGACGCGACGCCTCCCATGTCGGCACCAACCAATCAGTTAATCTGTCTTTGTAGTCCTCTTTTTGTCAACAATCAATACCTTCTTTGCAATAGCTGTTCTATATAAACAAAAGTTTCCACTACTGTACCCTTTTTGCTCACAATGGATTCGATTTTGGCTCGTCTTGGAGACACTGGTATGGCGGCATCTAGCTACCCCAAGAGGGCGAAAATTGCATTGTTGAGGCTCGACGCCGTTGAATTGTCTTTAGTTAAAGCGAATTTCGCGATGTTGGCAATCAAATGGTTAATCACGCACTCGTAAAGTTGTCTAAGAATTTGAGTTTGGGCTTGAGGCGGTGAGCAGTCGAAAGTTACAAAATGCGCGCCAGACTAGTCGGTTTTTGTGAGGTACTTCACCAGGTGTCGGGATGAAACGGCTTCCCGTCGACGTCTACTTGGTATGCGTCAAAAGAGCTTCAACGATATCTGAAAACTTAGGTTAGGTAGTTAGATCAAGATCAGCTACTAAGTGTAGGTGTCGTGCGAGGCTGGCATACGTTTGAGTCGCTGCAAAGCTTTCGCTTAAACAAACACCATCAAAATATCATCTACTTGGCTGGGGTCTTTGCTTAATCATGTCAGCCACTCGGTGTATTTGCTAAGTCAGATGAATGTGGCATAGAAATACAGTGCCCGTCTCTATCAATCATCAAATCCATCGCGTAAAACAAAGGTATCCACGTCTGATCGCGTTTGTTCATTTAAGCTGATTTCGCAAAAGTGTTTCCGGTGAAATTTAGTGTTCGGAAGTGCCTGAGTTTGAATAAGTTGCTTTGGTCTCGGTTCCTACACAGTGACGGTCGCTAGTCCGACATCCGTGCCAGTCGGGTCATGGTTGGACCTGTAGTCACCCCTCGATGGGCCATGGGAAGAACCAGGGAGGAACGTTGATAGTTGAACGAAGCTGCGCGCCTGGCAACAGCCAAGCCAAGACCGCACGGCGTGTATTCTTTGGGTGTGCATCGGCAACGTGATTAATTGCCACCCTGGTTTTACGGTCGCCTCTTATCTGACTACGCAACAGTCGAGTAACGCTAGTTCCTTGTGTGCGCGTGCCACGGTCGAGGGACAGATAAAGTCACAGCCGATCAAAAATACCACGAGCTTTGTAGTCCCAGGGCCTCATAGACACCTTGTGTAACAACTTAGGCGTTCTGCTGTTTACCTAATATTACTTGATGCCTGGTTCAAATAAGCAGATATCATTGGCAGCCCTTTTAAAATAGAGGTTCGGTAATTCTCCTCAATGCCCATGATATAGCCAACCAGACAGTCAAGCCCTAATGATTGTACCTGTGGCGAGCAGTTATCAATCATGACCGAACGAAGTTAGCAAGCCTGAGCAATCACTATTCAAGTGATTTCCGTGAATTCATTACATATAACTGCTAGCTCAAGGATCGATGCTTAGTGAATCTATATTAACGCATCTGCTATCCTGTACACAACAACACACTCCGCTACTGCTTTAATAAATTGGTTGAGCTACTGGTTATCTGCATTTCTACTCTACTTTCGGTCGGGCCGTGTCAACGTAGATTGTCGGCCCTGGTGTGGTTTCTAAAACCGCACCGGGGCCCGCTACATACACAATAACGATCAGCTGCTACTTGAAGACACTCAATCTATTTTCACGTTTCTCGATGGTGTAGTATTTCAGACACACAAAAGTTAAAAGGTAGTACCTGGAAACGTGAATAAACATCTCGGACCATAATCAGGCTCCATCCATTATTTCACATGACATGTGACTTTATGATTGTTTACGAATCCAAAGCAAGTAATTTTAGCGCTAGCCAACCAGCTTCGAACTGGGTGAAGTTGAGCCTTGAGACAGCCAATAGCTGTGAGCTAGGACTTTGACCAGCTCTCGTTTACTAGTTATTTTTGTCGCGATATAAGACAAATTACACAAGCGAATCGTTCATCAAGAGACAGTAATGGTGCTTCTTAGAGCACCAGATACGGGCCACACTTGTGCATGGTTGCTTTGACCCTATTATTGACTCCACACGCAGACACACACCAAACTAGTGACTGACTTGAGGCCACGTATATATCTTGTTTTACACAAACGCACGAATTTATCCGGGTGTGATTTCAATGTGCATGACCCAAGCGAGCACAGAAAGAGAACGCTCCAAAGATAATAAAAAGAAGCTTCTTTATTCTTGGACAATACAGAGATGGCGAGAAACCATTGGCGGTGCATTGAAAATAAATAACAATCTCGAAGCTTTTCACGACCGAGGTTGTTTGAAACGTCCACGGCTAAAAGCACCTACCGAAATCTATCAGATTTACAAAGCAAACCTTATCGGTGGTGTTTGGCATGCGGTCAGACCGGATTAACACAAAAATTAGGCAACATATGAGATTAAAAAGGATTTTGTAAAATTACATATGAATTAAGGTAGTCGATTTGATGGAATTTATGCAGCGCATGCATTTGAAAATGAAATTTAAATAACCGGGTTTTTAATAAATGGCCATAAATTAGGCTCGACCATCAAAATGTGGTGCGGTTAGCCATGTTCCAAAATCATGGCTTCTAAATTTATTAGTTCGGCAAAATCATTTTATAAAAAATCGTTTGTGTACGCAGATATATGGCAACACAGTTATAGCAACATCGACTAGCAGAACCGCAATTTTTAATGAAAAAATCAGCATTAACTGAGTCATGCATGATGGCCAAACAATTAAAGTTGCTTTCAAAAGAACCACGCTGGCTCCATTATTCGCCATCGCCATCATGGTTAATGCTCCACTACTGAATTCCACTGATTGTGAAGTACACGGCTTATGAATACGTCAGCGAATAACGCGGTTTATGTGGCCAACCCATAGCCACCGTTGTTTACTCGTCACCACAGCAGCCGGTAAGCGATTTAGGGAAATACCCACTCCATCTGGGTGCTGTAGTGGATGCAAGCATGCAATCTCACTCAATGCGATCCTTGGACGGCTTTGTCAGTAAGTTGAGAAAGTAATTAGCAAAGACACACTCGCATCCGCCAATGGCTGGTATCGCTGACTTTGAGAGTTTTGTTTGAATTTGAGAACAACTAAGAATTGAAGGCATGGAGGTGTTATGGATAGCGCATAGGAAACTGCATCGCAGTCATTTACGTCAGTGTTGTTTGACGTAAGCACCTTAGATGGAACGCACACAAGACCACACTCTTGGAGGCACTCGTGAATGACGCAACAACGCAGTGCCTTGATTTCGAGAAAGCTATCTTCATAGAAAGCTTTACTAGACCTGTCTGGGGCACGCAGTATCCACTATGGTGGCCAACAATGATGAAAGTGGGACAGCCCAATGCAGCACCGATCACTCCACCCGATCATAAATTCGAAGCAGAAGAATTCCATGGTGCACGGCTGTGACGTAATTTATGATACTGTGGGTCTTGCGACATTACGACACGCACACACCTCTGGGTGTTTACGTGATGACAGAAGTGTACTTCTATGCCAACAGCTGATGGCAGGATGTTCAAAATGGTCCCATGTAAACCATCGACAATGTTTCAAACACACACCACCATCGAAAAGAGTATCACTTGGCATAACAGAGCTTTGTAGGAGATGGCGAGCACAACAACCAGTCAGAATACAGGAAGTCAACGATCGAGTCTGCGATTGATCAGAGTACGCAAACATTTATGTGTGGTGAAAACACTGATGCATGCAAGGACATGCTTAGATAATGCTTCCACTTTGACCTACACGAACCTTCACTGACGTGTCTGCAATTACATAGTCTGGAATAAAACTTCACTAGAGATGCTACTTAAAATAAGGAAGCAATGCCTTAACGCTTTTCACCTAAAACCATGACTCTGCTTTGCAAATTCTCGGCTTGACATTCCAACGAGCAGAAAATGCTTTTGAGGCATATTTTAACGACTTCTTGACTTATGTAAGCGAAGGCTCGTTAACACATATATCTTGGTACTCTCAGAACGATACCAGTTATTGCGGCTAAATATTGCACATCTAGTTATGAAGTTAGTGAGATCGTATAAATTTTTTTCAGCAGAAACAGGTAACTGCGCGTGAGGTAGCCTTGAAGTAACCAGTAATAAACAAGTTTGGCCCAATAAAAGTCTGCTCGAAATCTCATCGAAACAGGAAGGCAAACATCACCCTGTTAACGACCAGGTGGTAACTTGCGCCTGAAATGCTACACCCAACTCCCAGGAATAAACACAGACAAATGTAAACAGCTCAAGTAGGCGGCTGCACACATTGTCGTGCGCGAGATCGACGCGCGAATTTGTTTATGTAACAGCTGCGTTGTTCTCAAAAAACACTTCTTCCAGGAACTGTGTTTGATTGAGCAAATTGTAGAATAGAATTCGATGAGCAAACTACTTTTTACCACAGTGGGTTCTTGTGTTAAATGGCCATTGTCACCGCTTCTAATTAGCCGACCGCTCGTTGTCATGGCGACGAGAAGCGAGGCGTCGTCAATCTCGATTCCATCGTCTTCGTAGAATTCAGTCATGGTTGGGTCCAGTTGGACGTGTTTGTACCACCACTCATCTGCCTACAAACACAGCAAATTTAGCATGTTTTACACGATGGTCACACGATGGGCTCCACTGCAATCCACTTTGAAGGCGAGTTCGTTACTTCACGAATGTGTCCATGCTACTTAACAATGCCAGTAGCTATGTTTGGAAATCGACATTATCCACGGTATGTTGACATGGTGCAACACGAAAAGGTGCCTTTTAGACAATCAGATTATTTCTCGGTAGTGGGGAGAGTGGGTACAATTTAGAGCGAAATCTGACTCCCATGCAAAGTGATTTTACAAGCAGCAGACGTATGCCAGTAACCAAAAACGCACCCACAGACAGCCAAACCCAAGAATCCCCTAACAGCTGACTTTGATGAAGGAATCTTCTACTGTCGCGGAAATTTACATGCGGAGTGGGCTAGCTTGAACACCGACAAGGTAGGGAGTGAGCCAATAAGAATATTAAGAGTTTTGTACATCTTTTAATCAAAAACTCTCGCTGGGTTGGGAACTTGTGCAAGTTTTTTAAACAGAATCATCTCCCAGTTGTCAAATGAGGCTCATTTTAAGTCGTAAATTCCTACTTCATGCTAAATGACATTTTCCTACCACAGAGCAAATTGCTGTTTCAACTGGAATCAGTTTGTAAGTCTGTGCAGTCGACTTGTAGGTGCTAGGGACTGCTCTACCACATGTATGCCTGTATGTAGGTGCCAAGTAGTCTCAAACGTAAAACGTAAACAAATCATGACACCAATATGCAAAAAGGCTTTTAAGACAGCTTAACAATGCTCTTCCTGCTAAACATTGGGTGGTTGTAGAACTTCGTGTCCCGTTTGCCCAGAAGTTTTCCTTATCACATAACCAAATGAGTCATTAGTGAACTTATCGTTAAAGAGTTGTCCTCATTTCTCATCATGACAACGCTAAACCACTCGTCGCTTGACGGATATTGGCGATGCTCTGGGAGTTAAATTGACAAATCCTTTGCATTTCTCAGATCATTCACTACTTTCGGATTCTTAATACATCGGCCCTCTGCAGAATTATTTGAATGGCAAAAATAGGCATCACTGTGGGAGATTGTGACTGGATATTATGGTAAGTGGCTCTTTGGTAAATAAATATTGAGTTACATGAAAATATGCTATGTTTAATGTCGTTTCAAATTGGGCACGGATTATTGGCAAATCACTTAGTGCATCACCTTGCTAACACATTCGGCGATTCCCCATTACACCCTACTATTGTAAAATGGGAAAAAGTGCCGTAATTAATCGATAAATGGAGCATTTGGTTGAAATTTTGAGACCAAGTCAAAATGTTCAGGATTTTTAAAGACACATGATTTTATCAAAACTCACTTAATATCACTAAAAATCCAAATCCAAAAAAGACTGATTACAATACATGTTAATCAGCACGTCTACGAAATTTGAGTTTGTTCTGTTTTGTAGTGAACTGCTACCATTGCGATTTAGTCAGTTATTTGCTCTTTAGTTTGTTTATGAGCTGAGAGGATGGGGTTGCTCGAAATTTGTTAACTTATAACTCAATTCCTTCATCCTTTTGCTCAACCATGGTGCAATCTCCGTATAAATCTAACGCAACTGAAAAACTCTATCAGTAGTGTACATGCAATAGCCGTTATTTTGGGCTAGCAGGACTCATTAAGTCACATCTTTTTTAAAATATGACATTAGTACGACATACGGCTTAGTAAAATTTATGCTACCCTAACTCACAATTGAAAGTTCAGTGGTCCGGATGATCATCAGACGCAGTCAACTAATGTTGCAGACAGTAATGCTTCATGCTGAGCATTATACCGAAATTCTCTGAAATGTACAAGACAGTCACCATCAAGTAATATCTCAATATAACCATCTAAAGCCTTAAACTAGTCATATAAATAAAAGCACAAGGGCGGGTTTTTTCATTATTTTGTTGTCTATTAATCCAAACTGAAATTCCAGTGGCCATTATCGCCCACTTGAATGCACGCCGATTAGTAAATATAAAGAGCAGTTTTTTTATTTTAATTTGAGTTGGTTGATAGTGAAAAAAAATCCTATTCTAAGGTTGCGAATACACATGCAAAGAAGGCATTTCTAAATGTGTTCCAGGCTTGCAAAGAAGAAATACAGAATTTCCATGAGAACTCTCGCTATAGAAGGATGGTCTGCCTCAACTCGAAGACTAACAATTTGTTGCACATGTCCCTAAATAGTGGCTCGCGCAGTCTGGAGGTGTTGCTGTGTTGACTTAACCTTCGATACGGTCTCAGTGACACCAGTTGAAGGCTCGTACAACTTTGTCTGAAGTGCGGCGTTGCGCTCTGCGAGAGATTTCATGCTCTCCTGCTGCTCCTGAATAGCTTGAGCGTAGCGACGCTTTTAGGTCTGGACCTCCTGTGAAGACCCAACGCTAGCTAAGTCTCACTTCTTGACTGTCACTAATTAAAGAGCTCAAGAATGTTCCACTGCACGATTCCTCGATTGTCAACATCTTTGTCGAGATGCAACTCCAATCACAATATATGAACAGTTGGTGAAGCAAGTTAGCTTTTCTATTTTCTAATGTCAATTTTGTAATGTGTTTAATAGGTGCAGTTAGAAAAATATGTGTTGGTTGTTATCTAAACTAAACAGCCAGGGTTGTTAATACATTTATTACGGTGTTCCAAAGTATCCGTATTGACGTGCCTATTTAAATAATTCAGTGATGCTGTCAATGTCATTTGCGCCGGCACTTACTTCTTTCTCGTATTTCGTACGGTTGACTCCTCTGGTACGTCGTCAGTAACTGTATACCTTTTACTTCGAGGTCAAGTGATCATTCTATTTTATGATACTGTAATCCAGTCTGAATAACTCAACGACACATAATGCTCCGCCTTAGTTTAATTTTAACCGCAACAAAACCTGGTCTTCTATATTCAGTCCTAAGCAGTTTGCCGTATTCTTGCCCCTGTTTATGTGGTTTGTGAGTGAGTGTCAGGGATTGACCAGTGTGTGGACTCGATTAAATGTAAAACCTTAATATTCTCTTCAGGTGCATTTTTTGCAGAACACTTTCAGTCAAATGTGTGTATACGACTTGAATCAGCTTTATGTTGATAAGGTAAACACGTTGCCTGTGTATCTTATGTAATGATGTTCTCCGCGTTTGCAGATATGGACTCGAAAATCGTTCTCCTGCAGGATGCTGCTACTCGACTGCGAATCAATAGTATCAAAGCTACTGAAGCCTCGAATTCGGGCCATCCAACGTCATGCGCCTCCATTGCCGAGGTGATGACCGTTCTCTTCCTTGATGAAATGAAGTACTTTGTCAAGGACCCTCGCCATCCTTCGAACGATCGCTTTGTGCTTTCAAAAGGTCAAGCTTCTCCTGTGCTCTATGCTGCATGGGTTGAGGTAGGATTTCTCTCCGAGAGCGATCTTCTCAACTTTCGCAAAATCGACTCAGATCTTGAGGGTCATCCCACTCCTGTATGTTAAACACATTTGTTGAAGCCTATCAGTCCTCTCGGATTTCGTTACGGATTCCATCACTACCTGTTATAGCGCCTCGAGTTCGTTGATGTTGCCACGGCCTCCCTCGGTCAAGGTTTGAGCAACGCAGCCGGTATGGCGTACACGGGTAAGAACATTGACAAGGCCAGTTATCGCGTCTACTGTATAATCGGAGATGGCGAGTCTGCAGAGGGCAACATCTGGGAGGCAATGGCTTTTGCTTCGTACTACGAACTTGATAACCTCGTGGCGATTTTTGATGTCAACCGCCTCGGTGAGAGCCAGCCTACTGCCCTCCAGCACGATCTCGAGACCTACAAACGTCGAGCCGAGGCCTTTGGGTATGACTTCCTCTTTTGCAGTGTTTACTTGAAATCCACGGAAATTCGTGCACGTAAAAGTTAGTTGGCACTGAGGCAAATGCTTGAGTAATTTAGGTGGGTTTTGTCTTGTCAGATTCGGATGTGACTCCTTTTTAATTACAGAATATGTTTTGATGTGTAGTTCATAATCAATCTAAAACAGTAAAACAGTTGAAGCGTAAATGAAGTTGAACGGTGAAACCAGAAAAAGTTAACAAAACATGCTGTGCTTTGCCAAAACATCGTGGGTCTTTTTGAAGGATTCACTCCTTGTCAACTGTGAATGCTGAAGCCCCGCGCTTGCTCAGTGTTGTAATATTTATAGGTGGCACGCAATAATCGTTGATGGGCACAATGTCGCCGATATAATGAAGGCTTTTGCAGCGGCTCGTTCCATTAAAGGGAAGCCAGTGGCACTCATCCTAAAGACTTACCAG